ATTTACCATAAATGGCCAAGTAAGTGTGACGCATCTGTTCAGCTGGGTTGTTATTGGCTGTGACTTTATCGCAGAACTCGCTGTGATTGGACTATCGTTTAACCCATATAAAACGGCGCTTCATGTTACAAAGTATGTTTTGGTGTTATTATTACGTTAGTTATGCATTAAGTTAACTGTAAAGTGCCTCTATTTTGTGAGAAATTACTCCTTTACCGAGATCACAACCCTAACCCTAAGCATGTCTGCACATTTCAATGAACTACAGCACCATGTTTCCTGTTCCATTGATAGAATGACAGAGAAATGTGGGTAATGTAGTTTAAAACGTTTCATAATGAAACAATAAATGTTAAATAAATAATATCTTTAATGGACAACTGGACATCTAAATTTGTTCATTGTGCAAACCTTTATGACATATATGAGGGACAGGCTGCAATTTGATATTTTACTGTGAGCACTTTAAAAATAACCTTTATGCCAGCTTAACATATATGTCTGAAAACTGTGCCCAACATTATTTAGTAAACATAGCATAAGCAGTTATCCTGCCAATTTTCTCTTTGATACACGAGCCGGACTTTGAGTTACAGCCATTTCAAATGTGCATTCTTTTGCTCTTCTGGGGGCCATTGCTGGGCCCCTGGGGGTGGAAGGGCAGTACATTCTACACAGATCTACACACACTATTACTATTACACAAAGATAATGCACCATTTAGTAAAACAACAAAAAAAACAGTGCCAACATTTCCTTTTCACCCCCTCTGATTGTTTCTTATATGCCTGACATTAGTAATGTATACGCTTTCATTTTAAATGCAGTAGTACATGTACTAAAATGATCAATATGGATCATCTTCAATTATACTTGAAGTGTTTATAGCAAAATAGCACACTGCAGCCTCTTGTTATTCACATACCTTCCCTTTATTTTACTGAAAACTGGCATATATGCAAGTATGTGCAACTTTTGTTGCATTGTTGTCCCAAATATCATTAACAAGATCTAAATTTGTATGTCCTAAGTAAAAGAATCAAGGTAATTAATGATATGTAGTTGTTTTTAAATAATTAACTAAACTAAAGAAATAAGAAATTAAAATTTCTCAAATAAAATTCTATTTACTGTACCAAACACCACTTTAAATACACAATATTCACGATACTTTATTAAACAACACTTTATTGGAGGACACAGCATAAAGTTGATAAAGTAGCATAAGGACAAATAAGATTCAAGATAAATAAAAATGTGTCTTCAAAAATGCATTAACATCATATTAATCCATTCACAGCTGCTGAAGCCACACAAATGAGTGTCAGAGAATCCTATCCAGTCACATATGATACAGAAAACAGATTTGATATTGTGTTGGAAAATAATGATTCATTATCACAGCTAAACTGGTTTCTTGCTCTTCCCTGTACATGTCTCTATCGTGTTCATGTTCTTCTTCCTCGTCTAAACAGTTTGTTCAGTTGTACCCTACAGTACAACAGATGAACAGAAGATGTGATCACTGATGTGGTGTAAATCTTTCTCAACCAGAGGAAGAAGTCTCAACATCCCATTGTCAGGCGTTCTCCAGTCCTGGTCTGAAAGTAAAACAAACAATTCAAATGAAGTTGTTTAATGGACAGTCAGGTCAGCTTATTTTCTGTGTTATTCACAGCAGTGATGGGCTACTCTGGCCCTCAGCGTCCACTGTCCTGCAGATTTAGCTCCAACCTTTAACCCACTTGCCTATTGTCTACAAGTAAACCTGAAGACTTTGGTTAAAAATGTTCAGGTGTACTCAATTAGGGTTGGAGATAAACTCTCCACCTCAAAAAGGAGAATGCAAGAGGGCCAGAGTTGCCTGTTCCTTATTTAAATTTACGACGCAGCAGTCAGTACATTATATAATATACACATTGCAGTATTATATATATATATATATATATATATATATATATATATATATATATATCAGCACATAATATAAGCTAAGTACTGAATAAAAACAGTTTTACCCATATCAACAGCAACCTATTTTAAAAGATCTTTTAGAAAGGCATGGTCTCTTTTGACCCTTTGCAAGTGATGCTTGATTTCTTTCAAAACAACATAGTCTTCTGTCAACTTGTTTCAAGAGCTTCACTTGGTCAAAAACCAAGTGATAACCTGTACAATGTAAAATTGTCAACATCAAATTATGTACTACATATTACAGCAATGTTTCAATACAAGACATACCAATGGACTTGCGCACCTTTTCTCTCTTCTTTGGGCACCAGATGTTCCTTCTTCACCCGAAACAAAGGACTTATTCGATTAGCTTGTCACGATATAAGGACAGGTCTTCATTCTCTGCTGTAAAACAAGAAAGTCTACTTACTCTATGTGCAATTACTATTGTTCTTGAAACATAAATTAAGAATAAGTTAATCTACCATACGATTCAGGAGAGAACATTTGATGAGTAAATACTGATTGAAATCTTCTAGAAACTGTACCTGGGAAGGGCTGATCACGGCATGATTCGCTGTGACTCACTAGTGGCTCTTGTGAGGGTTGGCTCTTAAAAGCGCTGCTGAGTTTGATATTGTAGAGCTTTAAAAAAAGGACTAAGTAATCCTGCAAAACAGAAAGGAATGTAATTAATACATTACAAGCAAGTAGTCAGTTTATATATAACTGTAGGATTTATTTCTTTAAAGAGAGTTGCATAATTAAATGGTAAAAGCATTTTTATGTAATAAATTTACTGATATGTGGGCATTTCTATGAATAAAAAAGTATGTCTTTAATAGCAAGCAATAATCATATGAACTCTTTTAAAAATAACATGATTTACATGCAAACGGGACAGTTATCAGCAGTGTAACTGATCTGATTATGACAAAATAATCGAATATATGATGTCATGTGACAAGTCAAATGAGCTTTTCCACTCTTGCAAACAGAGGAAGGTCATGAGGTGTGAAGAGAAATCATGTATCATTGGAACATGAACAGACAGGGACCAATTTGTAATAGTTTGAATGAATACAATGCAATTAATATAAACTTTCTGACAGTGTGTGGGACATCCGACTAATTTTCCAGAAGGGGCGCAACTGAATTACAAATATCGCCATAAATGTACAGGAATAGGAAGTGGCCAATGACAGCACAAGAAGTAAAAGCTGCAGGTTTTTGTACGAGTATACTATACAAATATGTACGAGTATCGTACGAATTTGACAACTTGTTAAATCTTGTGAATTATTAAGACTTGTAAGAAAAGGTTTAAGAAACAACAAATGCTTTTATAAAATGTTTGATTTAGGGTTAAAACCAACACATACCATTGCGAATATTTGCCTTTGCAGCTGTCCATCTCCTCGGTTTACTTGTCCTCAAACAATAATGAGCTGACTGAGTCCGAAAGGCCCTTTTGGTCTTTTCAGCTGAAGAAAGAGAAAAGAAAATATCATTATTTATAATATATAGGATTATTTCAAGGAAAAAGTACTGATTTAACTTACAAATATAGGATGTTACATTATTAAGCATTAAAAGCATGGTAAGTGTTGTGGTTACTGTGCATTTACAATAAGTAGCCTACTGTATCACAGTAAAACTAATGTTACTATGGTAAAAGCATGGTAAGTGTTGTTTTTACTGTGCTTCTACTACAAATTATATCAAGTCAAGTATATTTATATTTATACAAATGATATGTACTATTATGTACTACTTTAAACCTGATATGATGATTAACTGATTGAAGTTCTAGGCCTATAACGTCACGTGACAGACAGTGTTTAATCACCCTGTTTTGAATTAGAAAGCAATGAAACGCAAAGCCTCCGTGGAGATGACAGATATAATGCAGTGACTGAACGTGATCTAATCTGATTAATATCGACAAACAGAAAATACATTAGCCTATATCAAACATTATTAGGACAGCGTATTTACGACTACTTACCAACATCCGGCACACGTGAACTAATCGGAACTAATGCCAAATATCGCGATGTGTTCGGAATGAGCCTGCTTCAGCGCGATTTCCTACTGATAAAATATAATTTTAAAAATATCAATAAACAGCAAAGCAATCCAGCTTCCCTGGCAATAAGATCGAAACAATAACATTAAAAGAAATACATAAACCATGATAAGATCTCGTGAATAAATGTTGATTAAACAGCATCTCTCCTGCAGCCTGACAGGCAGAAAGAATCGTGCTGTGATCACGAAAGATGTTTCCCATTGAAATACATTAGTTTAAAAAAACGTGCGGATGTCACGAAAATAACGAAATAAACGTGCCCGTGTCACGAATCAATAGATTAAATTACGTGACCATATCACGAATTGCCGTGAGACTGGGTTGTCCCCACAATGTAGGTGATTTCAGGTTTTACTATACTTGTGGGGTCATTTGGTCCCCACAATGTAATATAAACATGAACACACACACACACACACACACACGTAGGAGTCAGATTAATTAGCCAGCATGACCATGCATGACAGATGAGCATATACATGTGTTAGTTTGTGCTTATTTGTAGAGGCAAATGTCCTGGTTCTGTCAGCATCCTTGTGTGTGTGTGCAACCCAAACCAAAGAGCCAGCCTCTTTAGAACGATTATTCATCTGAGAACATGTTCTTACACTCACACATACACACACGTGCGCACACAGACACAGACAAAGACACACACACAAACCTTATGCAAACACTATGAAAAACAGTGTCCACAAATCCCAGTTCACAACTAAGAGAAAACAGCACAAATCCATTCAAACCAAAAGATCTCTAGGATTTGCTAATTTCACAGACTCACGAGAACACATTTGTCAGTCTGTAGTCTATTCAGCCAACGTAGAGGGCAGTAAAATGTTCTTATTTTGGTTTTGTGCATGACCACCAGGCTGCTTTTCAAGAGCATCGGTGAGACTGTGGTCCCTGCAAATGCCAACTTCAGAGAGAGAGGGAGCAAATGAGAGAGAGAGAGGGGTGTGAAAAACTGCAGCAAAGATCAGATAGCAGACAAGGGTGAGAGAGAGAGAGAGAAAAAAGGAGAGAGAAAGAGAGAGCAGTTTTTTAAATGTTCAAACAGACGAGGTGGCGCACCGGAACATTAGGGAATCTCTGGACACACGAGGATAACCACGGCAGTGCTGAAGATTACTGAAACGTCAGAACAACACTCGTTGATGGAACATTCTGAGGTTGTTAGCATATAATCTGCAGGCTTTAGATAAGAACCTCCATCGAATACATGCGTACATGTGTGCGAGTTTCCTTCTGAGTATGTGACACTAAAGATGAGGACCTCGTTGAACAGTCAGGATCCATTTTTTTCTTTTAAAGGGAGTTTTTTTCCTGTAGGGGAACTATAAGAAATTCAATGGAATCATGCTTTAGCTCAACTTCAGATCTCTCTCTTACATATTTCCATGCACACAAAGGGAAGAAAAAAGGTAAGCAGAATATGTTTTTTTATTATCTTAAGTGCCTGTTGACTATATATATTTCTTCAGCTTCTATCGGCTCTGTCTTACTCACATGGACAGTCTACAGGTATTTTCTGCAACCTGTAGGCGGTTTGCGTTTTTGAGTGTTTTGGTGCCTTTAATGTGCCGCACATGAATAGAGTCATATAGAGTAGATGATGGTCATCAACACTGCATGTCCTGTACCTTCACTGTGTGTTATCAAATCAATGAGGGGGCTGTCACACCCAATACAGCATTCCCACAATGACGGATGTCCCCTGAATGCTGGAATATGTTGAGAATATCTTTGTTTTTAAAAATCTATGAGCATCATCTAAAAAAATAATAATTCAAATGAAGTCTAAATTTAGATTCGGTCAGATGTAATCCAAATCGGGATTGTGTAAACGCTGTACTTTCAACACTTAGACACCTGTTTGGATGAATATAGCATGACAAAAATATAAAATCATAAAAATGTTATGGTTTTTGAAAACCACGCTGAATGTCATTGGCAAAAGAAAAGTCACCAGATGCAACTCTGCGGATCATTCAGCACTGCGCAAATGGCGAGGGTGATACAAGTCTAAGTTCATAAAGTTTGTTAAAGGAGACCGATGCAGCTCTGGGCTGTTTTGGAAATGTTTGTTGGGAGGAGCAGTGTGGAGTAATATCTGAAGTCTGTCAATTGTCTGTCAAAGTTCTCACAAACTGCCATCACTTTAATTTCTCATCATATTTGTCATTTTGGAACTGGAGGAGCTGTTGGATGGGTAGAATGTTAATTATGTCTGAGAATTAAAATGACAGCTGTCTCGTTTGATTCTAAGTGTGCATGAAAAGCAAAAAGGACACAGAATGTTCTCTTCAGATTAAGTTTTCATCGACCACCACCATAGGGTTCAGGTATTTGCGTCAGACTCTCATAACCAAGATTATCTTTTCCCACAATTCTTTCTTAATGTTACTAAGAACTGCCACAGTACAAACCTTTTCCCAATCATATATGTTTCTTAGTTTAAAGAAACCTAATTTATAGTTTTATTTGATCTTATTTTAGTGCAAAATATGCAGTGCATATTTGAGAGATCAAAGCAGAGATCATTTTTTTATTGATTTTATTTGACTGCAAAACACTTATATAAATAAAGCAAATCCTGCAAAATTAATAAAATATTTTATTTCATTTATAAAATATTAGTATGGTATATTTTAATATTTTATATGATTTTGATTATTCCATTATATATATTTGCTATATAAAACTATATATATATATATATATACACACACACTATATATATATATATATATATATATATCATATTGAAAACCTCAAGGAAAAAAAAAGTTTTGTTTTTAAAACGCAAAGAAATGCATTTATATTTATTTTATATTTTATATTATATATAAATTTAGCTATCACAGAACATTGATTAGCTTATCTTTACTCATCATAGCGTCACTATCGAACCACTACATGATCAGAGGATCTGCTGACATTTAGAATGGAATTATCTGACATCACATCAGGACGCAGTGAAGATACTGACCCCACTGCCTCCCCTCAACTGGAAATCTACTTTGTATTCTCACGGCTATCATTGAAAAACGTATTAAGTGCTCAACTGTCTCTCTCGTTTCAAGTCTCTTCTCTCAGTTTTGAGTGATTGGCCACCTGGATGATGACTAAAATAACACCGCATGAAGCCGACAGTCGCCCCACAAACAAACACACACACCTACACACACACACACAAAATTTCTACCAGACAGGTTTCCATGGAAACCTCTATATCCCTCTAATTTTCTTGCGATTCTTTTATTTTTGAGAATTGTAAGAACTATGCTGCATTTCTTTGCTTTCATGGGTACACATGAAGGAAATGATATGTTTTTCTCATTATCACTCTTGCCGAATCTGAGGCTTCTTAGCTATTCGCACTCACCAATATAGCACCTGACACCACCCAGCCCCCAGTGTGTGAGTGTGTGTGTGTGTGTGTGTGTGTGTGTGCACACATGTAGAGTCTGTGTGTTTTGATGTCTCTCTGTCAGTACAGTATGTCTTGGAGCGCAGATTCTTGCAAGTGTGTGCGTGCGTGCAGTAGCCTCACTGAGACAGGCATCTATTATTAGAAAGACAGATCACTTGACTCAGGCACTGGCTAGACGCCTAAATCTGGACCCCACCAGCAGCTCCCGGCTCAGAGCTCTGTAAAAAAAAAACAGTAGTGAGAAAATCTGAATAATGATAATGATGATAACGATAAGAATAAGGACCGCACTCCAGCTCCTCTCTCAGGCTCTGAGGTGTGCGCACTTCAGCACTTCACTGTACGAATGTGCGGAGTTTCACAGGAAAAGTGCGAAATTACTTTAATTAGCTACATCTGCTGTGAAACAACCAGACGACAGTTCTGCTCATCTGCTCTCTTACTCACACTCACAGAACAGCACTTTTACACACACACACTCTCACAGAGGAGTAACACACTTTTTTTTTAGCTCCAATGAAGATTCATAAGATTCATTTTGGGACTACTTTAGCCTGCATCACACAGGTTTACCTTTCATTGACATTTTCAGTATTCTAATACTAATATATATATTAAGCCAATAGAGGCTGTGTGTTACTGTGATTTTACCATGTTTAAGTGGCTTTGCGTCTAACTGCCTGTCAAATTGCTTTAGTTTATTAAATAATTTATTAAATAATTGCATGGTTATGCTCATACATATTGCAGTATGTACATTTTTTTTATGTTTTTGAAAAATAAGTTTATTATGCTCACCAAGGGTGCATTTATCAAAAAATACAGTAAAACAGTAATATTGTAAAATAGTATTACGATTTATATAGCTGCAAGCAGCCATTATCGGGGACAAGCGGAAAGAAGACAACAAACCATGCCAACATGTCTGGGAGTATCAGTCAGACCAACTGCAACAAAGAGCAATTACAGACATTATAAGATGATTTCACGCAAAATGGGTGAAAAAAAAATCATATATACAGTCACTAATAATATGATTGAATGGTTTGTCAGTGGTTAAATTCCCATAGAGGCAGGCATATTTTTATTTTTAAGGGCCAGTTATTTCATGGATCCATGATACATCCTGATAAAGTTCCCTTGGCCTTTGTAATTAAAATAGCCCCACATCCTCACATACCCTTCACCATACCTAGAGATTGGCATGGGGTGCTTTCCACAAGATCATCTCTCAATGCAAATCAAACCAGCTATTAGGCTAAACTGAAAACCATGCCAATCTCTAGGTATGGTGAAGGGTATGATGATGTGGGGCTATTTTAATTACAAAGGCCAAGGGAACTTTATCAGGATGCATAGTATCCTGGATCCATGAAATAATATAACTGGCCTTTAAAAATAAAAATCTTCTATGGGAATTTAACATAGGGGTGTCCTGACTTATGCCCCCATTTCGGCATAACCCAAGAAATCTATTAAGACCAGTGTCATTACAATAGGCAAATTTATTCATAAGTTATTAGCATTTTTGGAAATCTTGTTATAACTTTTTTACCACAAGGTGGCGCTGCCCCAAAACTTTTTGAGCAGCTTCAAGGCATGGTACCGGTGACTCATACCGAGTTTCGTAAGGATAAGCTAATGCGTTCATAAAGTATAGCATTTTATATCACAATACTGTATTGAAGTCAATGGCAATTTCATGTTTTGTTCTATTATAGCGCCAAAAAGAGGCACAATCCCACTCTTTTTTTAATGTGTCCTCAGAGTGAGCCCATACATGTGTTTGTAAAATTTGGTGAAAATATCTCATTTCGGTTTGGAGTTATATACATTTATATGTATAAACACATAAAAAATTACCCACACCTGACTTTGTTTGCATTTTTTTGCCACTTATTATTTATAGTTTGACATTTGGGCATTAGCATTTAGGCAACGACCTATGTTTCCGAACTTCCTACGGTGGTTTCGTCTCGACCGGTTTCGAAGATATTGGCAAATGTCTTTTAAGCACTAAATCACAACGCTACACAAACCGTAAGGCGAAACCAAGCATGTTTGCTATCGTTGGACTGGGCAAGGATTCAGGAATCTAGTAGATGACTCCCGTGAAAATAAGTCAACCACACCCAGAGTTATAACATTTGAAAATTTAATTTTACCACTAGGTGGCGCTGGTTCAAAAATTTTCAGGCTCCTTCAGGGCATTGTACTGATGACCCATACAGAGTTTCGTAACGATACGTTCATAAAATACAGCATTTTGGTACAAAATTCAAAATGGCCAACACCTAAAATGGTCGATATGGAAAAATTGGATATCAGTCGACTCGGCATGACGCCCTGAATCTAACGAGACTTTTATGATTTTTGGACAAACCGTTCAGAACTTACAAGCAAAAATAGCCATTTTTCGTATCTCCAGACCAGCAGGTGGCGTTGCCCCGAAATGCAGCATGTAGCCTCAGGTCATGCTTGTGATGACATCTACCAAGTTTGCTCTGAATACGATAAAGCGTTGCAGAGATACAGCCTTACGTCTGTTTTCACAAGTGCTACGTAAAACTAGTTTGTGCGGTATTCAAGAACGGTTTGACGAATCGACATGAATTCCATAACTTTTTGTCGGCATGGTCTGAAGATGATCTGGTTAAATTTTCGTGAAAATCAGAGTAATCGTCTAGGACGAGCTTGTAAAAGTAGGTTTTTCTGAGAATTCAAAATGGCGTACAAATTTGAAAATGCAATCGAATCGGCTTGAGCTAAGGAATCAAAGGAAAAAATAATTTTGTTTCTAGCCCTTATGGTTAAAAAATTATTATAGCATAAACATGAGTGAAACTTTGGACAGTTGGTGACACTAGAGGGATTGAGTAAGAGACTCCAAATTTGCCATGGTGACAGTTCAGACTGTCCTCTATCAGTATGCCAAATTTCATAATTTTCCCGCAAGCGGTTCTATGGGCTTAATAGACTCCCAGAGCGGATGAAGAATAAGAATAAGAACGCCAACGATTACAAAAGGTGCCTCCGCACCTTCGGTGCTTGGCCCCTAATAATGGTTTTCTATTTTAGTATATTTTAGCAGTCTTCAGTGTCACATGATCTTCAGAAATCAAGAAACATTTCTTATCATCAATGTTGAAAAAAGTTTGTTGGGTAACACTTTACTTAAAGCCTTTATGTATAATGCATTATAAAACCATTTAATGTAAGTTATAATTCCTTATATCTTTTAATAAATTATTGTAACCAAAGTTAAAATGCATTATAATATTTGCAGATTCCCCGTTACGTCTGAAATTGGTTGTGTGCCATGTATTTTAATGCATAATACATTATAAAGGTGTAACAGTGAATAGATACAAATTATAATGTATTATAACTGTACTGTACTATTATAAAAAGTACTGATCCCAAATGTTTGAATGGTAGTGCATATCTACAATATAGGCCTATTTACAAGACAAAATAACTCAATTTACACAAGTTATACTGTTTAAAAGTTTACATACCTTTGGTTCAATATTGCGTGTTGCCTCCCTGAGAATCATTGACGGTTCGCCTTTGTGACTGTTCTTGACAAATTTCCTCCAGGTAAGTTCTTCAGAATCCCAGGATGCCCTGCACATCTGAATACTTCTTCACAGTGGCTTTATGTTCTTGAGATACAGGTTTGTCACTTTCAAACACAAAAGGTTACAATCACACACACAATATTGAGAACAAATGGTGTGGAAACTTTTGAACAGGATAATTTGTGAAAATAAAATGTATTTGTGTACATTTATTTGATCTTATGGTATATACTTAATTGTGTGTTATGCAGCCTTTTCAGGGCAATCTTTTTAAAAATGCTAAACATTTTACAAGGAGTTTGTTAATGTATGAGCACAACTGTATGACAAACAATGTACAATGAACAAAGACTACATAACTGATATCATTTTTTTGCTTCATCTTCAGGCAACACAAACTGATCCAGAACTGCTTTGGTACTCTCTCCCACTTACGGATTGGTTCTGGCCAGGCAGAGTGGCATGAGTGTGGGCAAGCCCCACCGCTACAACATTGTGTCATCGGAGGAGGAGGACGTGTTCCGCCACGGCAACATGCCTGCCCTCGGCAATGGCTTTGGTAATGGCAAGATCCAGACGCGCCGGAAGGTGCGAAGTCGCTTTGTTAACAAGACAGGCCAGTGCAACGTCAGTTTCTCTCATATGGACGAGCAATCCCAGCGCTACCTCGCCGACATCTTTACCACCTGTGTGGACATTCGCTGGCGGTGGATGTTCGTCCTTTTCTCCCTTGCATTTGTCCTGTCCTGGCTCGCATTCGGGTTCGCCTTCTGGCTTATTGCTCTTGTCCATGGTGACTTAGACCGGCCCTCTCAAGATGACTTCACACCGTGCGTCATGCAGGTGAACAGCTTTGTCGCAGCATTCTTGTTCTCGGTTGAGACGCAAACGACGATTGGCTACGGATTCCGCTGCGTGACTGAGGAGTGTCCTTTAGCAGTATTCATGGTCGTTTTCCAGTCCATTGTGGGCTGCATCATTGACTCTTTCATGATCGGTGCCATCATGGCCAAAATGGCACGGCCTAAGAAACGGGCAGAAACGATACTGTTCTCGCAAAATGCTGTCATCGCTATGCGTGACGGGAAGCTGTGCCTCATGTGGCGGGTCGGGAACTTGAGGAAAAGTCACATTGTTGAGGCTCACGTACGGGCGCAGCTAATTAAGCCCCGAATCACAGAGGAGGGGGAGTACATACCTCTCGATCAGATCGACATCAATGTGGGCTACGACCAAGGTCTTGACCGCATCTTCCTGGTTGCTCCCCTCACCATCCTACATGAGATAAGCGAGGAGAGTCCCTTGTTTGGAATCAGCAAGCAGGAGCTGGAAACATCAGATTTTGAGATAGTGGTCATACTGGAAGGGATGGTCGAGGCGACTGCAATGACGGCTCAAGTGCGCAGCTCATACCTGGCCAGCGAGATCTTATGGGGCCATCGCTTTGAGCCTGTGGTGTTTGAGGAACGCAACCAGTATAAGGTGGACTACTCGCACTTTCATAAGACCTATGAGGTTCCCTCAACGCCTCGTTGCAGCGCCAAAGACATGGAGGAGAACAAATCCTTGGAATCTGGTGCCAACTTCTGCTATGAAAATGAGTTAGCCTTCATTAGTAGGGATGAAGAGGAGCAGGAGGAGGACAGGGGTGAGAGGGGGACTGAGCTAGAGACCCTTTCAGCCAATCTAAACTTTGATCAGAGGTCGTATCACAAAGAATCTGAAATATGACCACTGATTGTCACCTTCAAAGACTTTGCTTTATTGTAGAATCAGCCTATTATTTTAGGGTCGGTTGTAACGAACAGATACAGAGCAATGCAAGTGCCATATGAAACTTTGACCCATTGTCCTAGAGCCATGCTGTAGTCGAGGGCAGGTCAGGAAAAGAAAGTGCTTTTTGTAGTTGTCGGAAATGTGAGGCCTTCCTATAGGAAAACTTGAAATCTGATTATCTGTTTCATACTGTAGTTTGAAGTGATAGCTTTAAGTAGTATCATTATGCAATACTAAGCTAGCCTGGGTGCCATTTTGACTAAATCTTTCTCTTGTACACACAATTTGCACAAAATAGGATGTTAACCACTAGTGTGTTTGCTTGGATATTGAGTAGAACATGATAAACTCTTGTTTGGTGTGATTTACAGCAATAAAGTGACTTGAAGACTTTATCCATGCTCTCCATATTCTACTGATTTTTTTTCACACTACGTTAGAGCAAAGACTGTATTGTCTGATAGCTTTATTTTTACCATGTAATGAGGTACTACTAGAGGTGTGTGGAAGATAATTAACACCTAAATAGACACTGCTAACTGACAATGAGCATGATGGCTCCCAGGCTAGCAAACAGCAAAGACACAAAACTATATTTATTCAGTATTAGAAAGTGAGTAGATAAATATACAAGTAGCCTATGTGAGCGGAAGAGTGAAAGATACAGTTAAACTTTTTTTTTTTTCACAACATACCACCATTTACATTCATGCTCAGGACAAACACCCTTGTATAAAACCGTTTACTCACAATAACAGCCAGAGGAACAACAGGTTTAATGTTTAGTGATATATTAAACCTACAAGTCCTGGTTTTGTGTTGTAGCCTTTCACAAATTTTGAAGCTATAAAACAGTATATTTACAACATTACATGTTTTGCTATAGCAACGGCTACATTTAGCTAGTGTGTGTTTTATGAGCTATGACCTTCAATATGACCTTTTTTTATTGAGTTTTTGTCCTCAGTATCAATACAGCTGCCCATTTGCAAATGTGAAAGGAAATGATCAATACTAAAAGATACTTCTATGGTAGATGCTAAAGAATAAAATGTCAGTATCGGATTAAGGGCACACTGAAAAAAAAAACTTGCTTTCCAGAAAAAAACTTGTTAATTACTCTTAAAACAATACCAAAGTCTATTTAGCTTACCCAATTGGTGAATTGTCTTCTGTTGATTTAAGTATAAGATAAATCATTTTTATATCTAAAAGACCTTATATCTTGTACAATTTTGCTTAATAATAAATATAGATAAAGAAACAAAAATACTGATTAATAAAATGATTTTTTTTTTGCAGTGCAATTTAGGTTGCAATTCCATGCAATATTTCAGGGTGAAACTAAATTGTCAACATTCAGCATAATACAACAAGTCCATTTAAAGTAGATTTCAACTCACAAACTAATCTAAGAGCTTGAAATTAATTACAACAAGCAACTAACAACAGACGAACACTAACCACCCACCTTTGGTATATCTTACATGATAATTAGAGATTACGACATTCTCCCTCCTTTTCAAAATCAGAGCAAAGAGAATTGGAGAGGTGAGAACGAGAGCCAGAGACAAAAAAAGGAACAAAAGAGAGAGCCACACGTACGCAAAAAGTTCACCCACTCACCTCATCCATCACTTTGCTCTGTGGGGGCAAATAAGAGTGCCTGATTAAATAAAGAAGGCATAAAATAAGATGATTTAAATAAATTAAACGTTTCATCAAGTTAGATTATAGCCAAAGTCATCCACTCTCCCAGAGGAAGAGAGGAAAAAGAGATGATCCCCTCAACAAAATCCACTCTCCAAAAATACATGCCTACACTATACTTCGTCATGAAACCATCATATAACCCAAACCCTCAAAGTTGATTGTTTTTAAAATGCTGGTCATAAAAGGAAAATGTCATTATTCACACTATGTTATCCAGCAGCTTGGCTGATTTCAGGTCACGTCCTCATAACCTCTTCAGTTAGCTTTCTGAGAGTGAAAGTGAGTCAGCTCATGCTGATATCAGCTCTTCAGAAATGAAGGCAAGATAGATATAAAATAGTGATGTACTTAGCAAGGAAAAACCAGGTCATACCAGCTCAAGCTGCTTTTTTTTGTCTGGTCCAAAAAGGTAAAAAAAAAACCCTCCTGCTTAACCAATTTGGTCTACAGGTCAAAACCAAGTCTACCAGCAGGTTTTCCAGCTGATCAACCAACCAGCTTAAAGACCATTAATGATCACCTTGAACCCACAACCATGTAAAACCATCTCTGACCATATATGGATTTTCCAGCAGAGAGAGAGAAAATAAGCAGGGATACAAAGACAACTCAGAAATACAAAACAGTATCAACCTTTTTTCTGAAACGCAATAAAAATGTCTTCTCCACAATAAGATCCCTTAATGAATCAGAACTACCTGCATAAAATACAGGATTTGCATTATAATATTAAACAGAAATACCGTAAGTATAGCCTGAGTGATGATGTGTAACTTTGGGCAGCTGGAGGTGACATGAGGCCCCGTCCACACTACTGCGTTTTCATTTAAAAACGGAGAACTTTTGCTACGTTTGCACCTCCCGTCAAGACTAAAAAGGAAAAAACGAAGAAGTTTAGAAACGCTGCAGCTCCGTTTTGCGTTTTGAATCTCCGGAGGGCGTTTTAGTGAAGACGGGACAAAACGGAGGACTTTAGAAACGATGACGCAGAGGCTCACGCTCGGCTCTATGGGTGTCATCAGTCATGACGTATCCTTCCCTGATTCGTCAGCCACCCATCACATGTTAATCCGTTTCCTGTTTACACCGGCACGCGCATGCCCAGTGTTGGTGAATGGTCACGTGATCCGCGTTTTCAGGCGTTTTAATCCATCAGCCGGAAGTTGAAGCTGCCTCCGGGGGCCGCCATTGTAGCTGGCTATCACTTGCTGTTAGCATCCCATTGACTCCCATTCATTTTGGCGTCACTTTGACAGCGAATAACTTTACATCTGAGGCGTCCAAAGACTTAATTTGTCCATTATTTATTTCTTAAGAAACGGGACAATGGATAAAAGGCTCCATTACTTTGTATCTTACGTTATGGTCCCGTAGAAGCCGTTTTTGTAAAAATAGGCTAACGATTGCGTCATAACCACGGGACGCTCTGTCGCACAGTAGAGAAATTACCGTATAGACAGAAGTAGAAGCTCGTAGGCAATCGTTTACTGTCTATGAGGCAATCGAGTGGACATGGAGGCATAAAGTCAAGGGAGAAGCCCATAGATAGAGAGTTCATAAAAGCAACGGGACAAAATATTTCAACAACAGATTTGTTTCAGATTTCAATTCAGATTTGTCCCGGCACAGCTACTAGAAGGTCAGAACGGTTGCTCACGTGACCTCTACGTTGTCAAGCTCAGTTTGAGCCTGCGCAGTGCGCTTGGCTATCAGGAAGTGAGTGCTTTTATGGGCTTCAACTTTCTCCGTTGAAATCTATGGGGTCGCTGTGTCCTTTTCTTTTACTGTCTATGGTTTTAATGTGGACGGAGATCAATTCTAATATGCAGATAAAACGCTGGTGTGGACGGAGATTGTATTCGTTTTAATTCTCCGTTTTTAAACGAAAACGCAGTCTGGGCCTGAGATTGAAAGAAAGCAGAGGATATTTACACCAATGAGTTCCTAAAAAGATGCATTTTATTCCCATTAAATCTGTATCAAATGTCACCTTCAGCTGCATGAAGTTATTAAATGACATCATTCAAACAGATTCAACACCACCATGACATGAGGATATAACTGATTATACCATGGTCTGGGTGAATACTCGATTCTGATTGGCTGCAGGGTGTCCATTAAAAAGTGATAGAGGACACCTAATAAAGGAGTTCTGGTGAAACTGACTGTTTACCGTTCGAATTAATGAATAAATAAATGCGCTGGCTACATCAGCTGTGAGTAACCATAGCAACAGGCAGTCAAAGTATCCGTTTACAATTTATTGTATTAAAACAAACATCTAGTTAGCCGTTATACATACATAGCCTAGGCTAATACAACAATGAGCGACTTCGTTATTTCTTTTAACCTTTTTGGAGAATTTGACATAAAAACGTTAACTTTCTGGCTCGTAAGTTAGCTAAACTGAAGGGTTATCCGAGCTAAGCGGACTATAAATATCTCCGGTTGCTAAACAAACCGTCAGGTGTAACCAGGGAAACCAAGTTATTGTTAAATGTGTTATTTGGTGTGAGTGAGTGACCATGGTATAAGCGGGTTAATGCCCTTCGAGGTGTCCATTGTCAGGTATTAATGGACGATGGCGAGGCCTCGAAGGGCATTAACCCTTACTTAAACTGATTAAGTACATAACATATAGGTGAATCATTTTCTGTCAGAAGCAGTGCAATCTAGCATGAAACAAATGTCATTGCAATACAAGGGAGTGAATTGTGGATTCACTGATTATTATCTATCCACATTCGGCACTCTAATGTAACTTATTTAAAGGTACAATATTTAGGATTTTTCGCCACCTTTAATAGGAGAAGTTCATCTATCACTTTGCAACTATTGTAAATTATTCAAATGCTGTTATATAGCCAAACAAATCTAAGAGCTATACGAGTATATCCCACTGTCTGTCATCAGAAGAGAATCATAACACACATAGCCATGGTGACAAATGTAACCATGGTAACAGTCTATCTAAAATTATTGGATGTATAGGCCTATCTATAGATTTGTTTCTTTCTTGTTCCACTGTTGCACCACCACGCACCTTACAAATCCACCGTTTATTAATAATAATGCAACGTTCAGATTACAGATTTAAAAACTTCCATTGCCACTTGACAATCAAAGTTTTTAAAATCTGTAATTATTCTAATTTTAGGCATAACAAAATAAGAATGGATTGTAACTTTAAAATCTGAAAATTAATTAAGCCAACATATGGGCTACACTCTGTTCCTATGGCCATTGGGAAGGAGAGTTAATTCTGGTCAACTTCTGTGCTTTGTGTTCCACTCCATGGGGAATGTCTCTAATTGCCATCTCTCATTCAGTACATAATAACTATGGGAACTAGAAGCATACGTGCCCTATAGGTTCAAGCCTAAAAGCTTTGAGAATACTTGTCACATACAAAGGTCAAAGAGATCATGTACATTTGCCTTCTGAGAAGGCGGGTAATTAAGGCCAAATATAACACAAAACCAGGAGAGGAACCGCACGTCTACGTGAGCAATCCTTACATAATTCATAAAAATTGCAATGATGCTATAGGATTTAAAATATAGATCAGAGTACTGAAGGCTCAACATTAACATTTTAAAACAATTTAATGTGAACATTACGTTTTGATATTGAGCTCAAGACTTTTGGAAAGACAAAACAATCAATCAATGCTAGCAAAACAGCACGCCATGACATTGACAAGATTTCATCTCAGCAATAGGATCCAGAAGTGTACCTTAATGAATCGGAACTGCACAATCAGGGAGTTTATATTCTACAATTAAAGAGGAAGAAATATTAAACCTGAGTAGTGATGTCACTGTGTAGCTGGATGTAAAAGAGTGCAAAAGATGACGATACTAGGAAAACGGGTCCATGAAATCTGTATCAAATCTCACTTTCAACTGCATGAAGTCTTAAATTATGAAGTATTAAATTATGTGATTCCAGTACTCTCTCTCTTTCTGTGTGTACGCATGTCATGTGACGTGTTTAATGCAGCGTTACTGATAGAAAAACCTAATTCTTAACTGTACGATTCTCCCTCCTAATTTTTTTTTTTACATTTACATTAAAGACATGATTTAGTGGTTCTCAACCTTTTTGACTTGAAGGCCCCCCAATGTCCAACACAATATTCAAAGGGCCCACATATAAGCAATAATATATTTCCTCTGATAAAGCTGATAATATTTGCTAATATTAATACTTGATAAACTATATAAATATAAACTAATATAGTTTATATTGATAAACTAAAATCAAATAGTTTTAAATAATATTTATAATAATAATTAAATTCAATAATTTAAGAGATTGCTGAGGCCAAGAGGGCCATGAGCCCCTGATTGAGAAACACTTGTTTGGGTTTCCTCTAGGCTGGTGGATATATTCTGATAGTGATATTCTATAACCAGATACACTATTATACTGCATACTCATTGTCTACAAAGTTTAATGCACATTATGTTTGTAATGGCCAACCATATATTTTCTAATAGCCAGACAATAATAAGAGAATTCCCCACTAACTACTTTTAAAGCGCTGGCCTCTCTATGCTGAGAAGCTGTCAGTCAGTTTTAAACCTGTTTTCTTTATTTCTTTAACCCAAGATCTGGTCTAGACAAAAATGAAATGGTTTCACAAACAAAAATGCACAGAATATAATGTTAAGCCTCAAAGGTAACATTAGGCTAAGCTTTGCATCCATAACATGAGCTTAATATACGATTTTGTTTGTTTATGAATTAAAATGTCAATTTACCTGTTATAAAAACTGAACTTTGCTTACCATTCCTGTAAAACTATAAAAACATGTTTTAGGTGGAGGTGCTGAGATAGAGAAACTTGAAGAGGCAGTTAGTGAGGGACATGATGCAACTTAAACACGTTACCTAGGTAACACGAACACTCTGAAACGAGCTGAATAGGATCATGGACATTTTGTACACACTTTTCGTTAGAGAGAATTAAGGGATTGCCATTTTAAAATGAATCAGTGTTGTGAAAATGTAACATAATGAAGAGATCATCGTTTCAAAGCAACATGCATTATTCATAAGTAATTACTGACAAAGAAGCAGTCAGAAATTTAATTAGAAAGCGCAAACACCTGCCGCGCTCCTCTCTCCCTCTCTGTACAGCTTTACACGGACCCGGGCCAGACATGAAAACACAGCTTTGCTGAGACTTATAAGCAAGCATAAAATTAAGACCCATAAGTGATGTGAAACGATATCGAGCCCGTACTAAATGAGGGAAATAGAGCTGCCCGACGCCCCGACCGCATGTTCAGATAGGCTACTATAATTGTTTTTTTGGCTAAATGCTTTCATGCTCACACTCAGTTGCCCATTATGAAACTCATCAAATACCTGGGTCACATGTTACTTTTGACATCTCCGACAACACATGCTAAAATACAAACAATGGGATTTGACTATTAGGCTAACATTAATTTAGTTGGCAAGTAAAGGATCTTTGCACTGACTTGTGCTAAAGTTTTCCAGAATCCAGGCAAAGCACGACATCTAGTGGTTAAAATACACTACAGAGAGTTGTTTTAAATCAGACTAAAAAAAAAAAAAAAAAAAAAAAAAACGTACATATGCCATGAATAGTTAACCTTCACTTTCGCTAAAAACATCTGTAAAAGCTTGGCAAAAGTTATGTATGTATGTATGTATGTATATTTACAGTATGAGGATTGTTTATCAGAAGGCTTAAAGATTAACAACAATAATAATGATAAAATACTAAAATAGCTTATAATTTGCAGTATTTTTTACACAATATCTGCACCTATGGGACGAAAAGTTGACTATACTAAACAAACAAGAAGTTCAAGACAGGAAAACTTGACTTTATTTATAATTAGAGAAAGAAAATCAAACCGATGCTCAATCGGGCATAAACATGTAAATATAAACAAACAGTTTAAGATTTAGAGAGACATCCTCATATCAAAAATTTGTTATGTCTAAAGTAGTAACAAAACAAAAATTAAAATGACTGATGTACACACGCACCCGTGACTAAAGGTATAGTTATAATTCATTGTGTAATAAAGATATACAATTTAATAATTTAACCCACATAATACACTAAAATGCCCCTCTCTCTCTCTCTCTCACACACACACACACACACACACACTCCTTCTCTCTCTCAGATCTTTTGCGTGCTAGTTAATTCAAAGAGCTTCATCCTCTCCAGAACAGTGAGTCCATCCTTAATACTCTGAGAAGAAAATAAGAGAGAATGTTTAATTTTTAGGGAACATCAGTATTTTGTACCATGTAACTGCACAGATAATCCCACCTTGGATCTTGCCTTCTGTGTGAGTGTTGAACAGTCCTTCACGAAGTCTGGGTTGCTTCTGGATTTCATCAGATCTGCAACAAGCATTTACAAATTGTGAATAAGTGCATGTTTATGCACTTATCTGTTTGCCTTCACAGTAACATGTCTGTTATTGTAGATTTGCTTACCATATTTTAAACACTGCTGTCTAGCTGGCACCATTCTCAGTTCAGTGAAGTCACTTTGAGTTTTGACTTCTAAATGGCTCAACTCAGAGTCTAGCTCTTTAAAATGCTTAAAAAACAAAACAGAAACACAGAGTAAATAAAAACAGAGAAAACTGTTTTTAAAATTTGTTTTCCTATATAAAAGTTATCCTATTAGGAAACTGTTATGGGTAAACTGCAAACAAAACAAAATAACTTTCAAAAATGTGTCATACTCATAATGTGTTTGTGTTGCTTGACTAAGAAAATACTCTAATATTACTAATATTCTCATCCCCAATATAATGTCCTAGTATAGTATTATATAGTATAATAACCCAAAACTATTTATTTGTTTTAAATTAAAGAGGTGTTACCATATTTCCTGCCAGCAGTTCCAATTTAAGTGAGTTGATCTCCTGTTTCAGACACTTAATCTCTGATTCCTTCACTCTGAGATTTACCTACAGCATCAAAGAACGAGACGGAGCACATCTGTTTTTACACATATAGACTTTATAGCACCTTTGATGGAATATTCTCTAACATAATCTCATCTGAGTGGTAATATAACCCATGAAGGATTATTTTATGGAAGCCGATTAAATGTAGTGAACTCAGAGTGCAGAAAATTTTAATCTGTGTTCAGTCAACCATCCCCTGCTAATTTTAGTAGTACAAGTCACTGCATATCTGTGAAATTTGGGCACTTCGCCACGTGAAGGGTGTCAAATTGTACCTCCAACTGATACATGTCTTTCTCCTGAGAAGACTGGGAGTGCTTCACCTCCCCATTCATGCGTGAATGCATCAGGGATAATTCAGCAGCCAAACACTCATTTAATTCCTTTAAAAAAAACATGTGAGGCAAGCAGAAAAGTAATGACTGTATAAATATGCATATTTTTTGTGTGCGTGAGCATTTACCTGGTTGTGAGTGCGAAGCTCCTGGTTCTCTCTGTGTGTTGAACTCAATGCCTCTCTTTCTGTTTCTATAGTCCGGGTCAAATTAGTATTTTCCAAACATTTCTGAGAATACTGCTCTGACAACACCTCCAGCTCCCTGTGCAACGTTTCTAGCTCCTCACTGCAGAAAATGCACCAAGACACATGCATTTCTCAGTGGACAGAAAAAAATGCAATTATGCCAATAATGAGTGGATGAGGCATAAGGTATATAGTTCTGCAACCCTAAATTAACGTTTGATGGTGTGGCTGACATAGTTCTCAGATTAATAATAGACATCACACACGCACTTATATTGTGCACGAAGCTGGCGGATGTCCACATTGGCTCCATTTTGCAGGGCTTTCTGAGTCTTGTCCATTTCCTCTTTATGAGCTTTCCTCATGGCCTCAATGGCTGAACAATAACAAATATTATTTAAAAAAAACAACAGAAGACAGATGCTAGATCACACTCTGTATTTCTAAGCATGCAGAGCACAAATTTACATTTATTCATTTAACAGATGCTTTTATCCAGTTAAAGCTGCAGTCCGTAACTTTTTTTGTGTTCAAAATGTACATAAGCGAGTACATCAAAAATCCATTTTCCAAACCGTGTTTTTGTCTTATCCTGAATCACTACGGTACACCTATAATACGTGTTTATGTTCAGACTATTTTAGACTGGTATGAGTCGTACCACTGCAGAGTAGTCCAGTACCTGTGTGACTTGTCATGGCCATAGAGAGAAGTAACTCCAGCTACAATGTTCTTCCGCAAGACACATGCAGTTCTGTTTATTAACCACTAGAGCATCAAAATTTATGGACTGCAGCTTTAAATACAAGTGAGTACTACAAATTTAGAACAAACCCCATGTATTTAGCTCTGTAGTTTCCTTATACATGTTTCTGCTCTTTTTTTTTGTATTGTGCATGAGTGTTAAAAGGGACAGTTCACCCAAAAATGAAAATGGTCATTAATTCAAAATTGCGATGTTTCAAATTTGTTTTGATGTTCTTACAAGAAACACAAAAAGAGTTATTTAGCAGAATGTCCAAGTTGCTCTTTTTCTCACAATAAAAGTCAATGGTGACCACAGCTGTCCCTGTTTCCCAGCAGAGTGAACATTATGAAGGTTTGCAATGAAATGAGGAGTAGTAAATGACAGACATTCAATTTTTAGGTAAACTATGTCTTTAACTCTGTTCAGCTTAGTGCATAGTGCTATGTACTGTATTGTAGTCTTTGCTGTAAGCCAAAAGTACTTGCCTGGTCTGTTGTGTTTAGACAGGCGAGTCCAAACCTGCTACTGGAGGGCCACTGTTCTGCAGAGTTTGGCTCCAACTTGCTTTAACATATCTGCCTTGAAGTTTCTAGTATGCCTTGTAAGACCTTCATTAGCAGATTCAGGTGTGTTTAATTGGGTGTGGGCTAAACTCTGCAGGACAGTGGCCCTCCAGGAGCAGGACTGGACACCCCTGTGTTAAGCTGAATGAATAGGAGCTAATGCTGAGAGGGGCACCTGCAATGGTGGCGTTCGTCTCTTCCTGCAGAACTCTTTCTCTTTCCTCTGTCAGCCTTTCCACCTCTCTCTGATGCTGCCTCTGCATCTCCTCAATCACTCGCTGATGGCTGTCTTCCATAATGCTGAAACCATGCTCATATGTGGCCTAAGAAAAAAATATGGAGTACCTTAATTTTAGGTATGATTACATGTTAATCTCATGCTGTAACAAGAAGGCTGTGGGCACCTTGATGGTTTCCAGGTCAAGCTGGAAGGCTTTGACATCCTGGTTGCTGAGGTCTGCCCTTAAACAAGTGACCTCAGTCTCAAGCTCTCTGATTCGGTCTTGCAGAGAAGACACAGAAACCTGATCAGTATTGTCACTGTCGTCTAGTTCTGAAGGGGTTGCAGCTTTTGGCTTTGACAAGTTCTGAATGTAGTATTCATGAAGACGGCTCATCTCCTCCTCATGGATTTTCTGGAGCACATGCAGCTTCTCATCAAACTCCACCTGCAATCTTTCTGCTTCTTCCGTCCTCAATTGAGCATTGGTCTCAGCTGAAACACGTTCCTGTTCTGCCTTTTTGACAACAATATGCTCCTCACGCAGCCTCTCTTCATAACACTCTGTCTGTTCCTGGAAAAGAGTCTCCATACTACGACACATGGCACGACACTCACACTGAGTCTGCTCTCTCTGCTTGCGTAGGGTTTTCATCTCTTGCTGCAGGGCCGAACGCAGACGACAAGCCATGTATGCCAAAGTGGCCTGACACATTGCAGCCCTTAGGATGGCTGTAGGAGTTTCACCAGGAAGGTCAGCCTCTCTATCCTCAGACTGTAGCTGTGTTGAGAGGTTGTGCAGTGACTTGGCCTGAGCTCGGAGCTCTACCACCAGACTCTTTCTGCAAGCAAGCAATACCTCAGAGTCCTCAAGGAGTAGATCGGTCGCCAGCTCGTCCTCCATCTGTTCACTGTAAGGTGCAAGTTCTGGTGGGCTAATGTCAGCAAGTTTGGACCCCTGCTTGGAACCATTTTCCATTTTGGTTCCAGACGAGGAACTGTCTGATACTGGCCAAGGCAACACATAAAAGGGCTTAAATCCCTGTTGTTCCTTTGAGGGATGAGTACACAGACTATGTAGGAGGTATGCCATCTCTGCTCTTACACACAGTCTATGGATCACATTTTCACTCAGCGTATTTTCTAACAGATCTTGCTCGAGAGGATCCAAGAAGATCTGAGGGTAACTAGGTTTCACAGCCCCATTATGACTGCCTCCTTTAGCCATCCTAAGTACTTGGATATGCACCTCTGACAATCTATTAAGCAACTTTGTACTGGGATTCTCAAGTGCAGAGGCAATCCTTTGGACAACCAGTGCCTCCAGCGACAACACTCTGCTGGCCATGTCCAGAGCTTGACTTCTCCCTGGACTTCCATCATCATAAAGGGAGATATTAGCTTGGTCCGAAGTTCTGTCTAAAGTGGTTCCCTGCAGGCTATGCAAAGCTCCAGTAAAACTCGGCAGAGCATCCATGGAGAGTCGACCTTCTGGATTATAGAGGGATCTGTGGGAGCACCAAGAATCACTGAGTGCGTGTGGTCCAGTGTTAAGTTGTTGTTGTTGAAGATGCACGGTAAGCTCCCGGAGACGCTCTTCGGTGTCACACAACTTGCGCTCTAGTGCCTGGATCACAGAGATCACTCTGTGTGACTCATCTCCCTGAGTAGGAGGTTGTTTTTCCAAATCTTTTTTCCCTTTCTGTCTGTGTTGTTGTGGCTCAATCAGTGTCTCACATGGAACACTAGTTTCATAAGGATGGGTTTGGGCTTCCTTGAGCCTTAATTCAGTCTCCTCTAGACTACTGCCCAAGACTGCCATCTTAACAAGCATTTCCTGGAGTTCACGTTCCTTCCTGAGCAGCTCTTGCTGTTGCTGCACCAGCTGGGTTTGGAAGCGCTCCTCACTTACTCTCTCACAGTCCAGCAGAGCACCTCGCAAACTCTGAATTTCCTCACAAGCTCTTTCATAATCATGCTCCATGTCGTAATAAAGAGTCTCTTCAGTTTGGAGGCGTGCCTGCAGACGACCGACCTCACTGTCGGACTCCTCCAGCTGGTTTTGTAGCTCCTGGCACCTTCGTACAAGGTCATCATTAACTTCACCTGTTTGCTTCTTCTGCAGCTCAGCATCTTTCTGCCTTAAACGCTCCTCTAGTTCCTTCGATCGCTGTTCCGATTGATCGAGGCTGTCACTGAAGCTCCTCCTTTCTCGTTCCTGGCTCTCTTGCAGGAGGCGCAGGTGCCTCTGTAGCCGGACCTCCTTTAAGGCTTGCGCTTCTTCGGTTGCTTTTAGACGGCCCGTTACCTCCTCTAACCGTCCATGCAGACTCTCCAGCACCTCCTCGCGCTCCTTCAGAAAAGTTTCTGCCTCTTGAATCCTTAATTCTGCCCTCTGAAGAAATCCCTGGCTATCGTTAAGCTCAGCTTGTAGTTGGGCCTCACTATGTCGTAACTCCCTTTCTTGAGACTGATTCCTCTCATGCTCAGCCTTCAACTCTCTGCGCAGGCTCTGAAGCTCCACATCCCACTGCCATTCTGTCTGGGTTGAGGATGAAGAAAAGGTGACTGGCAATGGAGAAGTGGAGCGATCAACCTGCAATGAATTGCAAGACTTTATTTCAACTATGACAAATGATATGTAATGATACAACCAGGGTTTGAAATGAACCTTTTCACTCATCAGCAATTTGGCAACTAAATTTTTAAGTTACCAGCCATTCAGAACTTCAACTAGCCAAAACTAAAATATCAGAAATAAACCAGAATATGAAAAGTCACATCTTAGCTTTAAATATAATTATTATTAAATCTGATTCTGAATTACTGTATTGCTTTCAGCTTTACGACATTCATCCACTGTTTTCAGAAAAGCCTACCATTAAAATAAAATAAAATGTAAATAAAAACAAAATTATAAATAACCATGAGTTTACCTGAACATAGCAATATAGACGCTTGAGCACTTTTTGCCCAAAAGTCTTAGACATGCAGGATTTATGAGAAGGGGTTGGAAAAAGTGGCCTCTTAATTGTACGTACATATATTTGTCCTAAATCGATGTATTTTTAATGTGAGTGATTTTGAACAGCTGAAGTCCTAGTTGGGCGTCGCAGGTGTGCGTACGGTCATAGAAAACAGTATGTTCGAATTTTAAAATAATTTCTCTCTTCACGTGTTGTTTTGCTAATGTTTGAGGCTCCTTTTAGGGCAGGAGCTCTAATAGTGATACCATGCAAAGTGATAGAACATAATTTGTGAATCATAACCCGCCAAATTGGCTAGTGTTGATAAGCGTTACCCGCCACAGTGGATTTTCACCTGAATTTGCCGGGTTGGTGGGTGTTAATTTCAAACCCTGGATACAATCATATTTGCTTGTTACGTTACCTGCTTTTCTTCTTTGGGTTTAGCTTTGAGTAGTTCACCAGGGCTGTCACAGTGGACACGTACTGTCCCTGCATCAACTTCTAAGCTGTCTGGGCTGATTGATTCTGGGGAGGTGCGACCTGACACTGTCATAAGTGATAAGTGTGATGGTATATCAGCGGACATGATGTTCAAGCTTCGCCCCTGAGAGAGTATAGTCTTCTGAAGATATTCGCTCTCTGATGCCTCAGAGACAGAACGTATGATCGGCTCTTCAGGGGATGATGCAGGGGCAGGAGGCACTGAGCGCTCACTTTTATAGTTCCATTGTCTTCCTGACAGATCATTTGACAACTCCTCCTTGTGCGGTTTACAACTTAATTCTGCCCAATCAAAGGTTCTGTAACGTCCCTCTCTCCGGCGCTCAAGGATGCGACTCCTTTTCTCCTCTTCCTGCGGAACTGTATTGTATTGGGAGGAGCCTGTACGAGCATGTGCACTAGTCAATGGCACCTTTTGAGGAATAGAACTGAGGAAAGAAAAGATGTAGCAAACTATGATTTAGTTATTTTTTTATGCGTTTACCATAACTTTATTTAAATGAAAAAACACTTATGGTTACAGCAAAAACACATTCAAACCTGGATTTGATAGTAGGATTTTTCCTTGTATAGCATTGGAGAAAAAGAAAAACAGCAGATTGAAAAGTCAATCACCTAACATGGGATTGTTTTGTGAGCAAAATAGAGCAATAAATGTTTCAGGGTTTGACAAAATATTTGTAACAACTGGATCAATGCACTTCTGAGAATTGCAGCTAGCTTTAAAGCTGTTACCATGTGACATCAGGAGCAGTGCTGAGATGAACATTTTTCATTACTGCCTGGACCCAGTTCCGTCGTATCCCATAAGTCATTGCACAGAGGGTGAAGACCCCATCCTTTGTCTGTATGAAAAGAGGGATGAAAAAAATTTAATGAAATAGACACAAACACATAAGCTTAAATATAGCTAATATATACTCACGTGAATCTGAAAGCCATAGTTTCTTTGTACAGGGTAATCTGTAACATCGTAACAAGTAGACAAATTGATCTCACCATCCACATCAGCTGCCTAGGTGACAAAACAGAGAAAGACCAGTTCATTTCTCTTGATTGCAAAAGGCAAATCAGTTATTATGATGATTCTTTATAAATCAATTTACCTCTTCTGCTATAGAGTCACGGTAGAATCTCAGAGTCTGGTCAGTAAGAACAAACCAATTTTTCCTCCACTAGAGAAAAGAGAACATCAGACCAATTTACATAGTAAAAAAACATTTACAAATAGATTGACATCATTCAAATATATGTGCCCTGACGCCCCTGAGACACTCAAAACTTCAAAATCACCTTTCCGTCTTCTCCCAATCTAGACATCCATCCCTTTTTGAAATTAAGGAGGTCAGGCTGAGAGGAAAAGAGCATTAGCAATGTCATATGTGATATGCATGGTTAATCATGATTAACTAGATAAATTAGTCGCGACATCCCGTAAGTAATTTGATTACATTTAGTTACTGGCATAATAAAAAAAATACACATTAGGGTCATTCTGATCTGTATTGGTTGTACTTACTGTGGGTGTGGGATCAAGATGTCTGCTTTCCAGCGATTTGGAACGGAGGCTGCATGACGTGAAGGGTCGCGAGTGATCAGGAATGTCATCATTAGGAGAGGAATCCTACTTAGAGCAAAAACAGAATGAGAAAATAATTCACATTAAAGAGTATTACATAAAACTATTAAAGGTAATTTTACCTTATTTCAATAATGATCCATTTACACTACCATTCAAAAGTTTGGGGACAGTAATTTTACTTTTATTCAACAAGGATACATTAAATTGATTAAAGGTGCTCTAAGCGATGTCACACGTTTTTTAGGCCAAAACATTTTGTCACATTCAGCAAACATCTCCTCACTATCCGCTAGTTGCCTGTCCCCTGAACACACTGTAAAAAAACGCGGTCTCTGTAGACAGCCCAGGCTCCACAAACGGCAACAAAAACAAACTGCGGCAACCTGCTCCATGAAACATAACAAACAGTGTTCCAGCCAATAACTGACAAAAATGATTTGGGGGTGGGGTTAGTGCACGTACGCATGAAGGGGGGTGTGGAGGAGAGAGAAGCATGAAGAAGGAAGTTAGAATTATAACTCTTTAAGTTTGATATAGCTGACAAATGACCAAAGAGACGACATTCCGATGAAAAGATTGAAGGTAAAAGAAGAAGGAACGCGCGAAGTCCCGAATTTACATTGGAAAAGCCTTTGAAAGGTGGCGAGAACTCCGGCAGAGGGGCTTCCAATCCGACATTCAGGTAGCTCAGGTGGACAGGTGGGTAAATCCAGTTTCATTTTTCTAACATACTTTCATGTTCGCCTAACATACACAAGGATATAATTAACTAGAACAATGCAGTCAGCGCTAACTTTGGTGAATACAACATATAGGTTTCTAGCAGCTAGCTATCGATCTCTATTGTAAATGATCAAGCAAACTAACAGTAGGGCGACAGTTTGTGTGAATGATTGTGAACTGTTTGTTATGAATTTGAATGTTCATTCATAGCCTATTGACAACTTTGACTAAATTTGTTTACGACGGAGTCGTTGTTTATGCTCACTGGGAAACGCAAAGCTAACGTTATCTTGCTATTATTGTGTCTTTGTATGGGAGCTAAAGTTATAACCTCAGGTGGGGAAACGTTTTATCGTGTTTTTCTGGTAATGTTTCTCTTTTTCTGCATTATATGAAAGCATTTATCTAACTTGGCGGCATTACACCTTGAATGAAGTATCAGTAAAACTACAGGGGGAGGGGGACGAGATGAGGAGGAGGGAGGGTCTAGCTAGCCTCCGTTTTGTTTGACAATACTTCAAACGTCAACAAGAAATGACATCACCCCAACATCGCTTAAAGCACCTTTAAGTGTCACAGTAAAGGCATGATGTTAACTTACAACATATTTCTATTTAATTAATAATTATTTCTATTTAGGTATTTCTATATTTTCAGGATTCTTTGATGAATATAATCAAGGTTTTCCACAAAAATATTAAGCAGCACAACTGTTTTCAACATTGATAACAATAAGAAATGTTTCTTGAGCACCAAATATTAAAAGCCCACTACTAAGTGCACTGGATGCAGCAAGTGACTTAAAAATTCCTACAAACCTCAAACTTTTAGTGTACTTGGTTCAATTAATCAAGAATGAGTTTTCACCTGAGATGTACTGACAGTTGTCTTATGGTCATTTTGTGCAGAAGACGAGGAAGTGAAGGTTGATGGGGGAAGCTCGTTATCTAGAAATGAACCCTCCTGTTGATCAGCATCCTGAGATCTCCTAGAAACAAACATGCAAACATATAAAAGATATTCTAAAACAGTGGATATCAATTTCATATTCAACTTTAAGCTATACAAATTCTCAAAAAAAAAAATCTAAAGTTCTGAGCCTAATATACAAGAAAAAGATAAACATTGAGAAGACAAAACAGAGATGGATTGTAATTTGTAGTATAGATCAACTGGAATTCAGTATGTACATTTTATAATGGTAACATTAAAGTTAAGATATACATAGAAAATACAATGAACATCTAAAAACTGAAATGAAAACAATTTGAACAAATTGCAGACATTTGTTGAGGAAACCAAAAAGCAAAAGCAGTTTGAGGAACAGCAATGCAGTGCTACAAAGCGATTTAACATTTAAACCCATTGAGAATTGTGGCTTGTAGAATATGTTTGTAGTAAAATGGCAAATGGGAAAGCAAGCAGGTCTGGTTTGATTTGACTGATGGAGATGGGATGAAGTCACCTGAAAGATAAACAGAAAAATGCTTTTGATGGAATTGCAATAAAATGATGAACACTAGAGGGAGCCACAAGCATTATACATGAAAACCAACTCTGTACAGTTGGTGTAATGAGGAAATCAAGAGTGAAATGCACATTCTTACCTCTTCCGACTTCCAAACAGCCGGTGTACTTTTCTTCTTGGGCTGAGTGCTTGATGTGTTTCATGTCTGAGTGTGTGTGTCTGTGTCATGGATGTGTGAGATTGTCTCTTCCCATTGGACTCCAAACTTTTCTCCCAAGAGCAACCAACCACATCTTTAGGATCACCCTCACATGCCCCCTGTGAACTGTGATTGGTTGGTGGAGGAAAGGGGCAGGGGCTAAGGGACTTTAAGGTAGGAATCATACAAGGATGTGAGGCAGGTGAACAAACAGAATCACAGTCACACCTGGAGTCAGTGTGTGCTTGTTCATCTGCAACACGAGGACTTGTCTTCTCCAGAGAGGAATAGCCGCTTTCAGTGCCCAATCGACTCTTAGTACCTGAGAGAGCAAATGAAAGCAAAGCAAACTCAGTCCAGAACTAATCTGTATTTCCAATTCTTACTTAGCCAGTGCACTGGCATTAGTTTACAAGGAATAAAAACTTAATAAAAACTACTAACATATTTGTGTCATGGCAGATAAAAGTGCCATTTGAAAAAGAAACAGTTTCATAGTTCACCCAAAAATAAAAATCTGCCATAAATCATTCACCCTCATGTCTTTCCAAACCTGTATGGCTTTCTTTCTTCCATGGAACACAAAAGGAGAGTTTCTAAAGAATAGCCGATTCAGATAAAGATGTATGCAATTACAATAAATAATAAATACTGGAGCCTTCAGAAAAGTACCACAAAGTTATCATAAAAGTGGTCCAAACCAAAGTTGAATTTTTGTGTAAACTATTCGAATTCTTAACTAGAATAATTAACAATGGTTTTAGCTACTACCCACCTTTATTTCTTAAGCTGACAAATCAGTAAGCACTAAAACCATAAACAAGTACATCCAGTTAATGTCATAAGCCCACACACAAAGGACACTCTGAGGTCGTACCGTCTATGCCGGAGCAGCTCGAGAGCTGATCGAGTGACGAAGTGAGACAGGAGCCAAGACTGGTATTGAGTGAAGAAGCATTACCACTGCTGGAAGGAACCCCAACTCCACCATTGAGTGACTCCTCCTCCAGCTCTTTCTCCGATGAAAGCAATGAGACCTCCTCCACCGTGCTCAACATGCTAGTTGTTCTGTCTTTTTTGGTGGCCCGTTTAGTACTGCCATTTCTGCTGCTGCCATCAGTGGCACTGCTCGTACTAGCATTGTCGCTGATGGAAACTTTATTGTTACTATTATTACTAGAAGTGATGCTGCCTCGTCTGTTAATGCTGCTGGTGAAACTACTTCCAGAAGTGCAAGTTTTTTTAGCACCACCACTGCAACTGCTGCTGCTGCTAGAGGTTTGGTTTTCTGCTGTCTGCTGAGAGAGAAAGACAGAGACAAAGAATATAGGTGAGTAAATCAGAGACTGACAGGTTGCACACAAGCGCTCGGCCAGCAAAATCCAATTGGCATGGACGGTGAAGGAAAAGCCTCTCTCTTTCTATATACAACCTGCTAGACAAACAAGCACACAAGTCTTTTGCTCTCTGCTCCCACTTTGCAAAATCTTTACCCTCCCCGAGGGGATGCTCAATAATCCTGTCCAGATCACTTAAGTTAATTCTATTAAACTTCCATCTGACTAGCGCTTCAAATTACACAAAAACAAAAAGCGCACACACACAAAATACAGGAACACAGCATTTCATCTACATGCTGTTAATTGTTGCAGTAGAATGGCACTTTCACACACTAGATCAATTTGGTCTGCTGTCAGCAGAAAGAATATGCAGAAGGTAGAGAGGGATTAGTAAATCAACTGGACAGAAAGACGGGCACAGCACTTAGAAATGTAATTAAAGTAAAGAACAGAGGAGGAGGGCATTTAAAGGAGCAGTACTCCAAAACAGCATTATTCTATCAACATTACTGTGATCATCTAAAAACAAACCTGTTCCAGGAGCACTTGAATATCCCTTGGCTTTTACACTTATTGAAGTGTACTAATCTGGTGTAACAAATAATGGTGCATGTGTCCATACACACTTATAATCTATATGAAATAGAGTGGACTTTACTGTGCTTAAGAAGGAAAAAACATATGTTAATTTTTATTCTAAAAGCTTTACTGGGTAAGTTACCTCAGTATATAACTAGTTTGCTGATATATTGCTCTAGCATATATTGTACCAGGATCAACAGAAAAACATTTACTCAAGATACCATTTTCCCGCACAAGAGCTTGGCAGATCTGCCTTTTCCAATCATGCTCCGTATGCATGGAATGAGCTTCAAGGTATACAAAACATGGAATCTGTGTCATCTCTTGATCTGTTTAAAAATATTTTAAAGTCCATTTTTATAGAACTATGTCAATTACGATGACTTTTAATTTCAGATATTATAATCATCTGGATATCTAATCCACCTCTAGTTTAAGAAGAGTTTGGTTCGTAATTACTTTCTGAATATTTATAAAAACGCTGAGAAATAGTACTAAATCCTGCTACATGTTTAGTGCAGCTACACCTTGTAGATCTCAAATGAAATGCTGACAAGGTATAGAAAACAACAACAACATAACTGGAAATTTGTTGACAAAACTAAAACATCTAAAAACACAGTCAAATAAATTTCAGTGCAAATTTTTTTTTTTTTAATGATACTGCATTGAATGTTTCTGTTCATATTCATATTTTACCGAAGCAAATAACTAGATGGTATATTGAAAAGATATTAGATAGGATACATGCATTGCATGTCACATAACATGTTTTTATAAAATATGAACAAGACTCACTTGTGGTGGGTGGACTTTATCCTTCCCCTTCTTCCTCTGATTTGATTTAGCAGCTTTGGGGTAAACAAACAGATTTTCCTGCCACCTAAATAAAACAAATACTGTCAAATTCATAAATAGGACAGACCCCAAAAAAGGACCCAGGCTGGAAATCACACTAATATGCAAACTCAAACAAGCATTCCGATTTCTCTTACTTCTGCTTTTTGGACATCACTCTTCTAGACTAAAAACCTCCGGTTGCAAAGAAGTAGAGAATTACGAGCAATAAAAGAACAAGCCTGAACAACCCCAAAAGAAACAGTTCTAAAGCTGGTGTTCTCAAAACAGAAACACATGCACACAGTAATCCGAGACTCCTTGACACCTTCTATTACACTCTTAAGGGATTAGGTCAGCCTGGCTGAGATTTACTGACTTATAACACTTAAGCAGAAACAGAGGGATCAGACAGAAAGAGAGAGATGCTTTCAATTGAACTAGTGAACAGAGCTGAGATCATGACACAAAAACAGGACATTTAACAGTCTGACTTAGCCTCTTTTGTTCCATTACATCACAACATATATGATTGCATACCATAAATGTTAATGGATGTATATATCAAGTGGGATCAAAATTAACTAATGACAAAGTAACTGTTATGTGCGGCTAAGTTCACACTACAGGTCAGTGAGTGTATTACCTACTAATGCTCAAGCTGTCTGTGTTCTCTGTTCGGATGTAGTAGTCTGTGTCAGTGAAACACAACCTCAGACAGTTCTGGAAGCCAGTTTGAGATGAAGCGTCAAGAATCTCACAACACTGGATCATATTCACACTTCCTTGAGGCAATGTACCTGGCTAGATAAAACATTGCATAGAGCAGGAAACATTTTAAAGTCACCATGAAAATGGACAATTTGGAAAATTGAAAAAAATTGGACAATTCTTGCTTTTTATGGAATATTACTGTATTTATTATAAATGATTTATCTGTGCACATCGTTCTTTTTTCATGCACCCTTATAATATTTACTCAAAATAACTTTCCCTCCCTCTTGGAGAGACATCCCTTCTCTTCTCTGATGAAGTGCTTACTGGCACGAGGGCAGCACAACCTGTCACTCACATGAGATCACAGCAATAGCAAACCACAACTATCCAATCAATTCCCAATGGGCAAAATCAAGTCCCACCCTGCATTTTTTCTTGTATGAGAAACCATTACACTTTGATATACATCACAATAGAGTAGAAAAGACTATCGCTTCATCAGTTTCATGCTAATTTAAAACATTTTTTTGGGGGGATAATTGTAAGCCTTACCTTCTTGTTAAAGACAATGACTGTGTTATTTGCTAGAAGGTGATTTTCATAAATGTTGAGCTTTTATTTATACTAATGTGATAAATAGCTTTTTACTTCTGGTGATTGCATTTAGGCTTCAAAATTCATAAAAGTTAGGGGTGTAACGATACCCTCAAGTCCCGATTCGATATATATCACGATACTGAACTCACGATACGATATTATTGCGATACTCCATCCAAGACATGGTAAAAGGTTAACAAAAAATGTACTGTTGATTAAAATGCTAAATATGATATTACATTGGGGGTGTAATAAATGAATGGGCTTGGACTTTGTGCTCGTAACCCAATGCACCGGACAATGGTGACACCATAATAAAATATATTCATGATACTCAAGCTTAAAATACAGAATTATTTTAAACTAATATCCTTGCACTCTGTCACTGACTAGATATATTTAAAATAATATAGGCCACTTTTTACTGGTAACATAAGACATTTGGCATTATCAGAAGGACCCACAAATATTCCCCCCATTGCATTATTATCCATTATATTCAACATTATCTATAGTAGTTTAATGTAGTACTGACACTAAAACTCTGTAAACTTTTTCTCTCACAGTTATTTTCATTTTGGGTGAACTATACACAATATATACTGTCACTATCCACGATATTGTTGCATTTTTGTATTGCGATATATTGTGACACGATATATTGTTACACCCCACCATATGTTGAGGGCAGAGTCAGAACCTATTTTCTGCAATAAGCCAAAAGCCAGAGGAAAAAAGCCTGTTGGGTTTTTGTCGAGGGAACCAGGGTGATGCTAACTTCCAGGTTGGCCTACAAAAATACATCACCGTTCTCTATTAAAGATAATGCTAAATGGCATTCAGTATGTATAACATCAAAATGAACATTTCTGGTCTAGTAGCAGTGATGGGGTTTCATAAGCTTGATATAGTGGGAAAATAAGACAAACAGTTTGAAAACACTGGATGAAAAACAAGTTAAACCTCACCATCTCATCCAGAGAGTAGCATAGAAGCCCATGCTCGTAAAGCACAAAATATCTCCTCTGCCATTTCTATAACAGAAACGGGCAAGAAAGATCAATGCTACACTTACAACATAACGATGTATAAATATAAAGGCCCTGTATCTGATGGAAATCATCTCTAGAACTGCCAGTGCCATCACCTGTTTCCTGTGGCCAGAACTGCTGAAGTCAGTGTCCTCTGGGGCCAAGAGGAGCCACCCCACATGAACAGGCTTAGTCTGGGACACAGAGAGAGACTCTATTATTTATTCTTTGAATAATATAACATAAAAAGGATAGTTTCATTTCTCCAGCATTTAAAAAAAAAAGTAAAGAAAGTATATACTCACCTGATACAGATCTGCTTCGCTGCGTTTGTGTGAATCCACGGTTTTAAAGCAGTTTTGACATTTACTTTTATTAAAGATGTTGGCCTGAAAGCGATGACACCGATTCTCGCGTGAGGAAAACATCGCGTTTTGCAAGTGACCATAAAATGTACTTTTTATAAAAGTAAAATCACAGCGGGAAAAATCCTAATGAGGTTATTAAATAAGTGACGATAGTGGATTTTAGTTTCTTTAAAACAAGTAAGGGGTTCACGTTGTCTTCATTTATTAATGGTGTCGGTGTCGTTAATGTTTTATCTTCCTACCCATAGACAGTTCCTACCCCGCGAGCAAAAGGCCTTTCAGTCACTTGTGACTTAACTGATAATTTGTGGATTAATACCTGAGTGATACACCGATGTAAACGCAAAACATTGGGTGCAGAGTTCAACTCTTCTAGAAACGTTTTGATCCACAGAACTTACATTAGAAGCTCAAACAAACCACAACACAAGGACGGGTTGCTGATAATGTCGCTCGCGACCGAGACAGCAACATGCAGCGACAGTCGGTTGTAGTGTGTGTGTGTGAACGCAGCTTTTTTCTTAAGATTCAGAGTCGGGTATTTTGATTCATCCCAATGATTCGAATCTGTTGACTTCGTTCACCAGAAAGATTCATTTACATTCATTCACGGACCTATGGAAGCCCCATACTGACCATGTCTGCAGATTGTAAAAACTGTAATTCTAAATTGTGTGTAGGCTATAAGAAACACATACTTTTATGTCAAAATAATATAGGCCTACTTATGGCCTACTTATTTTTTTTAGCTTGGTTCAAGCCAGATTTAGGGGAAAGTTTTTAATAGTTTAAAGTTTAAAATTTTACAGTGTAGAATACTGCTGCTATGTGTGCACATGACGTCACTACATTTTATATTTAATCCAGCAAGTGACATCTATGTGAAAAGCTATCTTTTTTCAAATTAAAATAATTGTACATATCTTTCAATTCATTAAACTAGAGATGGAAAGGTCAAGTTGGGTACATTGCATTCTGGCATACATACCCAGTGCAGTGTGCTCTGGTTGTATACTGCACATTGTTGTCAAAAATGATTTAAAAAAGAAAAGAAAAAAGAAAAGAAGAAGAATACTTTCTTTTTTTCATTCATTTTATTTATCATTAAAATACAATATTTAAAGGAATATATAGGGTTGAATTTATATATGTTGAGTTAAGTGGTAATGGTGAATATATATATATATATATATATATTATCAATAACATAAAAACAACAGATATCATTATTAAATAGCCTAGATCTTGATTCATGCCACATTTGTCTGTTAAAGCATTGGTATAAATACTTGTCTGAATGTATGAGTGAAAGTGATATCCATTAAAATTCTCCACCCTCTGCTTTCAGATCAACTTTCATCTTCTGTTTCTTCATTATGGCCTCCAACTCAGTGGCCTTCCGCACATCCTGCAAACGAGTGATACAGATATGAAGATAATCATCTTTCAATTCTTATCAATTCTCTCTCTTTTTCGGTTTGTTCTGTTTATTTCCAGACACTTTAATCATTCACTGAGAGAAATCAAGTTTGAGAAGTTCTGACAAATTACTTTATACTAAAGACTATTCAACTTTTATACTGTAAGTGAAAATGCTATTTCACTACATTTTGCTTTTGGTCGAATTACCCAGTTAAATATTTAATTTAAATTGAATATTTTTTTTACTTTGTTTAATGTTTTTTTGTTTAAAGTCAGCATGAAACGAAAGTTGTGATAGTCTATCTCCCCTATTGTGACATATCCGAGTGAAACAGCTTCTCGAACAAGAAGAAGTGCACACTCCTGGGCAAAAAAATGGGCCAAGCCAAAAATGGCACAATATTTAGTGGTCTTTTAATGATCTTAACCATTTTAATCACAAATCTCTGGTCAGGAAATTACTGTAGAAAAAAGTAACTCAGCACGAAATAGCCTTCCCCTTTGTTTTCTTTAAACTTGCAGAAAGCTTTTTACAGGAAGAATAGTTGTTCCACTCAATGTTGATGGAACAGTTCATAGTTGAAAAATGTCTCCCAGTTCGTTCGAGCATTGTCTTGTTGAAAAATACCATCTGATCATTCCTCTTTAGATAACAACTTTTCATTGGTGGGAAGCAAGCCGATATTCTCCTGTACTCCAAAGCATTAAATTACTTTTCACAGTGAAGTAGCTCACCAATACCAGCAGCTAAAAAGGCTCCCCACACAATGACACAGTCTCTTCCTCCATACTTCACTGAGGTCGAGATGCAGTTTTCATTATATTTCTCAACAGATTTTTGAAGACACCGCTCTAGAGCATCACCGTGCAACTGGTGTTTCATTGTGATTCATCACTCCCCACACAACTTCCCATATTCTGCCAAAAACTTCATTCTGTCTCTTATGTTTTTCTGAGACAGCGATGGCTTTTTAAGTAGTGCCTTTGCTTAAATTTGGCTAATTTCCAGATCATTCATTTGTGGTTAAGTCAATTAAAAGCTTAGTGTTTGGCCCTTTTGGGCTTGGCCCATTTTATTTTGCCCAGGAGTGTAGGGTGGGACTTGATTTTGTCCATCTGGAAAGAATTGGATGGTTGTAATTTGCTATTGCTGTGATCTCCAGAGGTGTCAAGTAACGAAGTACAAATATTTCGTTACATTACTTAAGTACAAATTTTGGGTATCTATACTTTACTTGAGTAATTATTTTTCAGCCGACTTTTTACTTCTACTCCTTACATTTTCACGCAATTATCTGTACTTTCTACTCCTTAGATTTTAAAAATAGCCTCGTTACTCCTACTTCATTTCGGCTTGTCATCCTTCAAAAAATGACCAATTACACAAACGTTTAATAGATCTGAGTCCCGCCTCCTGAACATCGCTAAACTGATTGGCTTTGTGTTTTCTTTCTAACTTGTGAGAGGCTGTTTTGGTTGTGCGAAGCGGCAAAACTCATCCGAAGGAATTAGGAAAGCTAGATGCGGTAAGTGAGGGAGAAATCAACAGTTTTCTGCTCAAGAATACGGGGCAAATCGCGTCAAATATTGAATTGGGGACAGCCGTTTTTACAATATAGTGGGCCTACTGTAAGATAATCGCGGGATAAGTGGCAAACATAATCGAGAGTGTGTGTGTGTGTAAAAGAGAGAGAGAGAGAGAGAGAGAGAGAGAGAGAGAGAGAGAGAGAGAGAGAGAGAGAGAGAGAGAGAGAGAGAGAGAGAGAGTGTGTCTGTGTGTGTGTGTGTGTGTGTGTGTGTGTGAGAGAGAGAGCGAGAGAGAGTGTGTGTGTGTGTGTGTGTGTGTGTGTAACCCTACATTATAGGATCAAAATATCCCCATAAAGATGGCAATATCCGAAATCCTTGTTGGGATATATATATATATATATATATATATATATATATATATATATATATATATATATATATATATATATTAAAACAGCTTATAAATCAGACTAAGTGATGTTTTTTGAAAATGCAGAGAGTTATCTGTGATAGGGTTAGTGTAGGGGGGTAGAATACACAGTTTGTACAGTATAAAAATCATTGTGTCTATGGAAAGTCCCCATAAAACATGAAAAAAATAACATTGCTTGGTCTGTTGAAATGAGAGGTCTGTTTGATCAAGTTGAAACCGTGTCATCCCAGTCTCATCAGCTGGACTGAAAGAAATTTCAGCACTTAGGACCCTGAAAACATGTCTCAGAGCAATGGCCACAAGTGACACTTGACAGTATTGCTGTGTGTTGTGTCCAAACTTGACAGTTTTGATGCAAAACATATATGCCAACAGTTAATTTCTGTTAAAGGGATAGTTCATTCACTTATTTAAAAATGAAAATTCTGTCATCATTTACTCACTCTCAAGTTGTTTCAAACCAATTTCTTTCTTCTGCTGAACACAAAAGAAGATATTTTGAAGAATGTCGATAACCAAACAGTTGATGGAAGCCATTGACTTCCATAGTATTTTTTTTTTTTCCTACAATGGAAGTCAATGGCTACAATCAGCTGTTTGGTTATCGACATTCTTCAAAATATCATCTTTTGTGTTCAGCAGAAGAAAGAAACTGGTTTGATTTAAATGATTTTCGTTTTTGGGTGAACTACACTCACCTAAAGGATTATTAGGAACACCTGTTCAATTTCTCATTAATGCAATTATCTAATCAACCAATCACATGGCAGTTGCTTCAATGCATTTAGGGGTGTGGTCCTGGTCAAGACAATCTCCTGAACTCCAAACTGAATGTCAGAATGCGAAAGAAAGGTGATTTAAGCAATTTTGAGCGTGGCATGGTTGTTGGTGCCAGACGGGCCGGTCTGAGTATTTCACTGAGTATTCTGCTCAGTTACTGGGATTTTCACGCACAACCATTTCTAGGGTTTACAAAGAATGGTGTGAAAAGGGAAAAACATCCAGTATGCGGCAGTCCTGTGGGCGAATATGTCTTGTTGGTGCTAGAGGTCAGAGGAGAATGGGCCGACTGATTCAAGCTGATAGAAGAGCAACTTTGACTGAAATACCCACTCGTTACAACCGAGGTATGCAGCAAAGCATTTGTGAAGCCACAACACGCACAACCTTGAGGCGGATGGGCTACAACAGCAGAAGACCCCACCGGGTACCACTCATCTCCACTACAAATAGGAAAAATAGGCTACAATTTGCAAGAGCTCACCAAAATTGGACAGTTGAAGACTGGAAAAATGTTGCCTGGTCTGATGAGTCTCGATTTCTGTTGAGACATTCAGATGGTAGAGTCAGACTTTGGCATAAACAGAATGAGAACATGGATCCATCATGCCTTGTTACCACTGTGCAGGATGGTGGTGGCGGTGTAATGGTGTGGGGGATGTTTTCTTGGCACACTTTAGGCCCCTTAGTGCCAATTGGGCATCGTTTAAATGCCACGGCCTACCTGAGCATTGTTTCTGACCATGTCCATCCCTTTATGGCCACCATGTACCCATCCTCTGATGGCTACTTCCAGCAGGATAATGCACCATGTCACAAAGCTCGAATCATTTCAAATCAGTTTCTTGAACATGACAATGAGTTCACTGTACTAAAATGGCCCCCACAGTCACCAGATCTCA